TCTCTCACAGTGACCCTCTCTCTCTCACAGTCTCTCACAGTGACCCTCTCTCATAGTGACCCTCTCTCTCACAGTGAACCTCTCTCTCACAGTCTGTCACAGTGAACCTCTATCTCACAGTGACCCTCTGTCTCACAGTTTCTCACAGTGACGCTCTCTCTCATAGTGACCCTCTCTCTCTCAGTCTCACACAGTGACCTTCTCTCTCACAGTGGCCCCTCTCTCTCACAGTCTCTCACAGTGACCCTCTCTCTCACAGTGGCCCTCTCTCTCACAGTCTCTCACAGTGACACTCTCTCTCACAGTCTCTCACAGTGACGCTCTCTCACACAGTCTCTCACAGTGACGCTCTCTCACACAGTCTCTCACAGTGACACTCTTTCTAACAGTGACCCTCTCTCACAGTCTCTCACAGTGACACTCGCTCTCGTAGTGACCCTCTCTGTCACAGTGACCCTCTCTCTCACTGTCTCTCACAGTGATCCTCTCTCTCACAGTGACCATTTTTCTCACAGTCTCTCACAGTGACCCTCTCTCTCACAGTGACCCTCTCTCACAGTCTCTCAAATTGACCCTCTCTCTCAGTCTCTCACAGTGACCCTCTCTCTCACAGTCTCTCAAAGTGACCCTCTGTCACAGTTTCTCACAGTGACCCTCTCTCTCATAGAGAACCTCTCTCTCACAGTGACCCTCTCTCTCACAGTCTCTCAAAGTGACCCTCTCTCACAGTCTCTCACAGTGACCCTCTCTCTCATAGTGACCCTCTCTCTCACAGTGACCCTCTCTCTCACAGTGACCCTCTCTCTCACAGTGACCCTCTCTCTCACAGACTCTCACAGTGAGCCTCTCTCTCATAGTGACCCTCTCTGTCACAGTGACCCTCTCTCTCACAGTGACCCTCTCTCTCACAGTCTCTCACAGCGACCCTCTCTCTCACAGTCTCTCACAGCGACCCTCTCTCTCACAGTGACCCTCTCTCACAGTCTCTCACTGTGACACTCGCTCTCACAGTGACCCTCTCTGTCACAGTGACCCTATCTCTCACAGTGACACTCTCTCTCCCAGTCTAACACAGTGACCCTCTCTCTCACATTGATCCTCTCTCTCACAGTCTCTCACAGTGACCCTCTCTCTCACTGTGACTCTCTCTCTTACAGTGTCTCACAGTGTCCCGCTCTCTCACAGTCTCTCACAGTGACCCTCTCGCTCTCAATGTCTCTCACTGTAACCCTCTCTCTCACAGTGACCGTCTCTCTCACAGTGACCCTCTCACTCACAGTGACGCTCTCTCTCTCACTGTCTCTCACAGTGACCCTCTCTCTCAGTCTCTCACAGTGAAACTCTCTCTCACAGTCTCTCACAGTGACCCTCTCTCTCACATTGACCCTCTCTCTCTCAGTCCCTCACAGTGACCCTCTCTCTCAGTCTCTCACAGTGAAACTCACTCTCACAGTGACCCTCTCTCTCTCAGTCTCTCACAGTGACCCGCTCTGTCACAGTGACCCGCTCTCTCATTGTGACCCTCTCTCTCACAGTGTCTCACAGTGACTCTCTCTCTCACAGTGACCCTCTCTCTTGCAGTCTCTCACAGTGACCCTCTCTCTCACAGTGAAACTCTCTCTCACAGTGAACCTCTCTCTCACAGGGACCCTCTCGCTCACAGTCTCTCACAGTGAGCCTCTCTCTCACAGTGACCCTCTCTCACACAGTGAACCTCTCTCTCACAGTGACCATCTCTCTCATAATGACCCTATCTCTCTCACAGTCTCTCAAAGTGACCCTCTCTCACAGTCTCTCACAGTGGCCCTCTCTCTCACAGTGACCCTCTCTATCACAGTGGCCCTCTCTCTCACAGTCTCTCACAGTGACCCTCTCTCTCACAGAGAACCTCGATCTCACACAGAATCTCACAGTGACCCTCTCTCTCACAGTCTCTCACAGTGACACTCTCTCTCATAGTGACCCTCTCTGTCACAGTGACCCTCTCTCTCACAGTGACCCTCTCTCTCACTGACTCTCACAGTGACACTCGCTCTCACAGTCTCTCACAGTGACCCTCTCTCTCTCAGTCTAACACAGTGACCCTCTCTCTCACATTGATCCTCTCTCTCACAGTCTCTCACAGTGACCCCCTCTCTCACAGTCTCTCACAGTGACCCTCCCTCAGTCTCTCACAGTGACCCTCTCTCTCACAGTCTCTCACAGTGACCCTCTCTCTCACTGACTCTCACAGTGACCCTCTCTCTCACAGTGACCCTATCTCTCACAGTGACACTCTCTCTCTCAGTCTAACACAGTGACCCTCTATCTCACATTGATCCTCTCTCTCACAGTCTCTCACAGTGACCCTCTCTCTCACAGTCTCTCACAGTGACCCTCTCTCTCACTGTGACTCTCTCTCTTGCAGTGTCTCACAGTGTCCCGCTCTCTCACAGTGACCCTCTCGCTCTCAATGTCTCTCACTGTAACCCTCTCTCTCACAGTGACCGTCTCTCTCACAGTGACCCTCTCACTCACAGTGACCCTCTCTCTCTCACTGTCTCTCACAGTGACCCTCTC